ATATGTCAGCGAATGTCGAAAACTCAGTTTGATTGAAAAAGTCATTTATAAAATTATTTATATGTTTCATAATATGTATTTATTACTAATTTGTACGTGTATGTTTATGCGTTTATTTTAGCGAACCAAAATATTCAGATAGCAAACTTTTCTATTCCTTTTTTTCAAGTTCCAATTGTTTTGATCACATTTTTGACAAGATTGTCCCCTCGGCGTCGGAGTTGTCGAATTCGTGATCTCCGTCAAAGTAGTTAGCATATATTCACTTACCACTGAGTCTTAAACAAATACTATATTGCTAAATAGATGATAGAATAGATTACTTTCCTTGAAAACCCACGGAAGTGTTGTCAATGCACAATACCACATACTTATTTCAATAATTCCAACATTTGACCGACTTTTCAAATTATTAAGACTAAATTATTATAGGTTTTCTAAAAAAAAAAACTATTTTATTTTTATTCTGAAATTTAAATTCCCGATTTATCACATAACGTGAACTGCATTGCCTTTAATTTTTTTTCTAAAATTCTGTCATAAAAAACAACACGCATTAAAAAACTGTAACGCTCACCGTTGACGAGTTTTAAGATCCGGGGCACGTGGTGACCGGAAGCATATGGGCAAACTTGAAACCCTTCCCTGGTAAAAAGTATCAATATATATCTAAAAATCGCCCGGTAACATAACAAAGTAAACAAATTATATGTAGTTATAAAATGGTTACTTATGGTTGTCGTGAATTACAAGGAAAATCTGATTAATGGTAATTTTTATTTCATGAATACTACGATGCAGACTTTACGTTTTCAACTTTGTGAAATTCGTTTATTTTTATGAAGGAAAATACAGTAATTTTATCAAATAAAATCAAATCTATTAAAGTTATTGTTTATTGCATAAGTTGTTACGGTTAAACACGCTACATATTTTGTAATTTCATTTAGCTCTTTTCAGTCATAATTCAAGATGAAATTAAAAAATATAGAGAATATGACAAATTATGTTTTTTTATTTAATATTCACCCGTAATCGGCAATTAAGACAATTATTATTAGTATGCATATGAAGTACATTCCGGTATAGAATATTCTAAATATATTTCTGAATTCACTTGTCGATATCATTTTGTTTTCAGTTTTTTCACAATGTCGAAAACAGAAAGTGCCATGAAACAATGTCTTAACACGGACTCTTATCACGTGTTCAGATCAATAATCACTTTTGAAATTGTTATAAATTGTTTTCTCGTGTCCTATGTAATAGATCGCATGCCTGCAAACGACGTTAATCATTTGAGTGTTACAATTTTGCCTGCTTAATGTATTTTATTATAGTGATTTTATATTTTTGAACCAAATGGTCATAATTTCCAATAGGTGATTTTCCGAACAATTGCGAGATCTCGCGAGATGCATGAAAGACGCGCGTCGAACGTCTGCTGCAAAAATCGAACGATTTGATTTTGAACTAGAATTTCTTTATTTCGCAGCTTATATTGACCGGCCGATCTTCGACAGAGGAATATTGCTTCCGAATACCCTTACTTAATCGAAATTGCCTATCATCAAATGTGGACAGCACATTATTAAGCATGGAAATGTCCCCGAAATACTTTCGCGTTTGTCGAATCCCACGCAATGTTTGACGCGACTACGACGCTATGACCTTTGTTTGTCCTGTTTTTACGTTCGATTTCACGCATAACGCGTGATTCTCGCAGTGAACGGAAAATGGTCTATTGATTACAACTCTTGATCAAAATGTAGGAAACATTATGAAAACATGATGTAGGTTTAAAAGGCGGTAGTCGTCTCGCTGCGCATGTGCGAGATGTATGGGTCTCATATAAACAAAGATGGCGACTTTGACTGTTACGCAGTTCAACGAGTACGAACTAAGACGTTTACAAGCTTTAATTAAGTAATTTTCATACTATTGGAAGGTATCGAAGGAGTCACCGGCAGTAATCAGTGCAAGTCACGCCCAGGTCAAACCCGCCTCATACTTGTGATTTCCATTTGAAGAGCGCATTGGATTGTGGGAAAATCAATGTTTATCAACACAAATGTCGCACATGCGCAGCGCGACGACTACAGCGCTTTAAAGTGTGACAGTCGTCGTGCCGCGTCCTGTTCGATATGGGACTCACAGTGACGTACACAACGCATACAAATACTTTGTTTACTTACATGAAATTCGAACACGCGCTACGCGACGACCACCGCGCTTTGAAATATGTGAATGTTGACAAAAGTTGACTTTGCCGCTGAAAGGTTTAAACATGTTAAAACTTACTAGTCGCACGTACAGTACTATGCTATACAAATATTATATTTTTAGGACAGCGTCCAACAGATAATTTAAGACAACAACATCTACCATGATAAATAAATAATTTCACCACGCAAATAGGTGATAAATGGAAAGGTGTATTCACTATCATAGCAACCAATGGTTTCAAAACAAAATGGCCGTCAATGCAGTATTTTAACCAATATTTTCTCAGAAATTAGTTAGGTGGCCCGTAAATTTTCTTGACAATAATATTTTTTTTTATTTGAGGGTTTATGTATGCCGAGGTTCTATTAATATATAATTTGTATCTCTGTGATATCAAGAAAAAAATGAAGGACAAGCATTTCTTCACAATTGGGAGTAACTCGGTAGACTTATTATTCTTTTCAATATGCCCATTTTCTATTTCAAAACGGCCGCCAAAATGTTTACCGTTATGATGGAATTGCAAAACCACCATTTCCATTGAAACAAATTCTGGTATCTCCGATATTTTAATGTTTTTTTCACTTTTTTGAAAGAAACCGAATAACCGAATATTGGATTATAGTTTCATCTTTATATTCATGGTTATTTTTTTTTTAATTATAGCTTATAGGTATTGGTTGTGCCCTTGCAATCTTTGGTAATTTCGTGATCAGCTGCTCACTTAATTTACAGGTACGTATAAGAATGACAATATCCGCTCTAACACCTGACTGCATCAACCAATCACATAACAGAATATCTGTTATCACACGACACTATTCATTAGTTATTACATCGGCATTTTTGCATAATATCTCAAATGACATTATTACGCCACAATATTGTATACTAGTATGTCGTACAATATCTATGATATTACACATCTGATATTATACAACAATATCGTTTATTATTTTACAATATCGTTTATTGTCCCACAGAGTCTGGTATCACACAACAATAACATCGATTATAACACAACAGATGATATCACACAACAACATCGCCTAGTATTGCACAATAGGGACATTAAACATTTGATCATAATTATTGTTGAATAACGAAACATCTCAGAAAACTTTGACCCCTGACCTCATAGTACTTTGGTTATTATTGCTTAGAAATTTGTACATATGAAGATTCTGAAACAAGGCCTCGCGCCAGAGAAATACCTCAGAAAAAAAATATGGTGGTTTGCTATCATACTGATGGGAGTGGGCGAGATTGGAAACTTCATGGCTTATGGCTATGCTCCAGCCTCCACGGTGGCGCCTCTCGGTATAACGACCATCATAGGTAAGATTATTATGGGTATGGGTGTGCTCCTACTTCCACGGTGGCGCCTCTCGGTATAACGACCATCATAGGTAAGGTTATTATGGGTATGGATGTGCTCCTGCCTCTACGATGGCACCCCTTGGTATAACGACCATCATAGGTAAGGTTATTATGGGCATGGGTATGCTCCTGCCTCTACGATGGCGCCCCTTGGTATAACGACCATCATAGGTAAGGTTATTATGGGCATGGGTATGCTCCTGCCTCTACGATGGCGCCCCTTGGTATAACGACCATCATAGGTAAGGTTATTATGGGCATGGGTATGCTCCTGCCTCTACGATGGCGCCCCTTGGTATAACGACCATCATAGGTAAGGTTATTATGGGTATGGATGTGCTCCTGCCTCCACGGTGGCGCCTCTCGGTATAACGACCGTCATATGTAAGGTTATTATGGGTATGGGTGTGCTCCATCCTCCACGGTGGCGTCTCTCGGTATAACGACCAGCATAGCTAATGTTATTATGGGTATGGGTGTGCTACTGCCTCCACGGTTGCGTCTCTCGGTATAACGACCATCATAGGTAAGGTTATTATGGGTATGGATGTGCTCCTGCCTCTACGATGGCGCCTCTTGGTATAACGACCACCATAGGTAAGGTTATTATGGGCATGGGTATGCTCCTGCCTCCACGGTGGCGCCTCTCGGTATAACGACCATCATAGGTAATGTTGTTATGGGAATGCCTACAGCGTTTACGGCGGACATTGTTTACTAGACCGGATTCAATATGGCTAACGGCGGCCATTTCGTTTTAATGGATGATTTTCTAGAGCTATATCTGTGACATATCTTGACCATTCAAACTCACACATGCTTCTAGATCATGCACATGTTAACAACCAAATTCAATTCAAATTCAAATTAAAGTTAAATTAATCATCAACATCGAGATTTCCACTATTCCAGTCCATGTTCAAAACCAACCAGAAGTTCTACATAAGTTAAATTCCGATTCAAAATTGCCGATTGATTTCAGGTTTGTTTACTATTGCACGATATATGGTAACTGTGTCATGGCAATAACTTTTTTGAAATTAGTTCAAGAAAAACAACATGTGAGACCTATAATCATGGCACGTAACTTCGCACGTTTCTATTTTCAACAATATTCTGTCATCATATTAGAATTGCACACAAGTCTCTTGTTTAGTTTTAACAAGAGACTGTGTGCAAGCTTTTGTTAAGTCTGGCATTATATGTTTTTTATCCGTTTTTTTTTAATTTGAAACTGTCGAATCAGTGATTTACATAGATGCATATTGGACACATTGTTTGTACCCGGAACCAGAACCGGAAGCGACATTCTTCAATATAGCGAAATGCATTATGGGTGACTAGTACATCTGTACTTAATATTGTATTATATTGATGTTTTTTCTCCAGCGAACGCTGTTATAGCCACTTTATTTTTAAAAGAACGTGTACGAGCACAGGACCTGTTTGGTAAGTGTATTGTTTCGTTATTATAACAATATAAACACTCGCTACGTCACGGTGAACACTCGCATTCTGCCTCAACACGTACGACGTACTGCGCTTCTCTGTTTTTGTGTATTCCGCTATTTTTCCTGAGCCGAGCAATAAAATAACACGCTACATAAACATATATCCACTTTTGGCGGCATCGAGGCAGTAGGGTTGGCGTAACTCCAGCCATTACAAGTATAACCTCTATCATTCGTAAATTTGTCGAAGTCACGCGATTATAGACATCATCTACTCTATATGAGGAAGGGCAGTTATGCTTCAGTTCATCGGCTATATATGTGTCATTAACTTCTTATAGTTACTACCTTATCCTAAAATATGTTTGGATATTTAGAGTAGTAACAAATTCCCGGTCCGGTTTGACTTAAAATACACCACAAATATTCACTTTTCAGATATAATTTTTGGTATGTGTTGGTTCTTGGTTATTTCAGCTTCGCCGTCCTGTACTTCGTTTAGTAATTCGAACTTCCCAGATTGCGTAAAAACGGAGAGTTTAGCTAAGGGACGGCCGCTTAGGTATGTGCTCTGTAACTTGCAGCACATGAACCTAAAAGCGTTAGGTAATCGAACAAAAATGACGTTGTACATAAAGTACGTTCAAGGTCTTCACTTTTTCGTAGCATAAAAACGACTTGTCTTACGATAAAATATTTGTATTTGTAGGTATCCTTATAGCGATTGCCGGAGCCTTTCTCATCATTTCGTTTTCATCATCAGTAAGTTAATTTCAATTTTGCTAAGCAACAACTTTAAATATAGAGCAAACACAACACTGACAACCTAAGTGAAACGTTACTAATATTGGTCGATTCTATTTTTTTCATAGGGGTCAGAGGTTGCTCTTAATGCCAGGATGATTATAGAGCTTCTCAAGAACTGGGAATTCATTGTCTATGCAGTAAGATCAACTTTTTTCCTCACATTGATTGATTGCAAAAATAAGACGTCACATGATTATGAATCCTGCTGGAGCATTGTAGGCTTGGTATTTGTCATCGTATTAAACTATAATGTAATGCAATGCATTGTAAAGCAGCGCAACGCAACACATTATGTGAGTCTTATGTTTTTATTTTTTATTTTTCAGGTTCTAGAAATTTTACTTATAATAGGTTTACTTATTGCAATATTTGTATACGACCAGCTACACGTCGTAATTATACTATTAGTGTGTTCGTCACTTGGTAAGTCCCTGTTCTGTCTTTTGCATTGTACACTGCAGTCATCTGCATTCGTCAGTACCGCTTAACCGCTTTCAAAACATGATATGGTTTGTATAGAGAGAACGTACCTGTAATTCACAGATCATGCGCACAATTAACATGCCCCATTGTTGTGAAGTATTGCTTTCTTCCTTCCAAAAAGTGCATCAATTCGCTTCGTCGTTTAACAACGCGCGACAGTTAACCAAAGTTCCTGTAAATTGCGCCCTCTAGCGGTGGGCGCTTCTGTGACGTCAAAATAACGTACATAGGTGATGCACTGTCATTCAAATCCCCCACTGTGTTTGGTTGTATATTTGTTCTTCATCTAGAATATAGTAAACCTACAGAAAACGTATTCTTCATTGATGAACGGTTACATATCAAAAAGATGCGTCACTAGAGGGCGCGATTTGCAGCAAAGGTGTTTTGATTTAATATTTTAAATGTTTCGAAGGTGATATATGTATGATACAAGGCAATAACGTTTTTCATATTGTTTCCACAAATTCAATCCGCAAAACGAAAGAAATATATGAAATATTATTGTACACTGTACTTTTGTTCGCAGCATCATTTACAGTAATCACGGCCAAGGCAGCGAGTGGGATGCTGACTGTTACGTTTGAAGGAGACTCACAGCTAGGCGAGCCTGTGTTCTATATAGCTATCATACTGATGGTTGTTACAGCAGTTTCGCAAATAAAGTAAGTGGTTAGCACGTGTACATATAGACTGGGTGACGTCATTTTGCGTAGACTTAGTCTTTTTTTCAATAACAAGAAAGTGCGTATTTTTTCGCTTATTGCCGGTGGTTCACACTGCTCCCCCAGTCCTAAAAAAGGAGAAAAAACAAACAAAAAACCAACGGCTCTTGGAGGCTTATTTTCAATAGATCGTGGAATGGACCGAACTCAGTAAGTTGAATGCTTGATAGATTTGAATATTTGAACACTTGAAATGTTTTGTCATTCTGAAATTTGATGTAATGCATAGTGTCGACCCAGTGGAAGCAGTGACTCAAAATAGTAGGCAAAACAGTATTATTTGGTACACACTCAAAGTGAAACAGATATTTCGTACATTTACTTTGCGCAAAGCCATGACTACAAATTCAGGTTTATGAGCAACAATAGGACAGAATATTTTTTTATACATTTTTCCCACCTATCTGCAGGTGTGACGTGCCTGAATATTTTAAACAAAATTAACCCTAGCTGAGAGCGGATTGCCAACAAAAACTAAAGTAGCTACAGGCGTATTTATAACTGCTATGACGCTGAAGTAATATCTCAAGTGCATTGATCAGATTGTAAACTTTCTTATTACTGTGACGTCTTTTGGGACTAATTTATTGTATACTTTTACGCCCACTGTTCACTTAAATCAAGTTTCGTAACTCTCTCGGTCTCACGGAGCCTGGTCGACAGCTGCCATTTGTGGCACGCGCACACTTTACCCATATTTAAAGGGCGACAGTCGTCGCTCCACGCATGCGCGAGATATATGGGTCTCATATAAACAAAGATGGCAACTTTGACCGTTGTGCAGATCAACGAGTACTAACTGAGACGTTTCCAAGCTTTAATTAGGTATTTTCAGGTGATTGGAAGGTATCAAAGGAGTCACCGGCGGTACTCAGTGCAAGTCGCGCTCAGGTCAAACCTCATACTTGTGATTTCCATTTGAAGAGCGCATTGTATTATGGGGAAATCAATGTTTACCAACACAAATGTCGCACATGCGCAGCGCGACGACCACCGCGCTTTAAGAGAATATGAAACAACGTGTCTACTGATAATATTCCCAATCACATTCATTTCTGTAATATTACATAACCCAATTAAATGTGAATTTATGTACTTAAGTTTTCTATTGTAGATTTTTAACTTTAGCAATGCAGCACCACGATTCTAATGTAGTGGTACCGATCAACTACGTATTATTTACCATTAGTGCCATAGTATCAGGTAAGAATACTTTTTAAATTATTAAACAGGAAAAAAAATAGTACGAGTTGATGATTTACACAATTTGTCAACTCTGGTGGCGCTTGCATGTTTTCGTTACAGCATCTGCGTTGTGCAGGAAACTAGACTATATTGATTTTTGCCAATGATCTATCGGGTCACATGGTGGTTTGCTACTGGTAGAAGAGTGAATCGAAGTTAGAGTGTAAAAATTTCACTTTGCTAACTCTAAATATCAATCGTTGTCATTCATCTGTAGGTGTTCTGTTTTATCACGAATTTACTGGTTTGTCCTCGGTGAATATATTTATGTTTTTATTCGGGTAAGTCTGGAAAAAAACATTGTCTGCCATTTGTTCAATTTAAAATTGAAGATTAATGATGTTGTCGTTGGGAAAACCGTGTAGATCAATCATCGATATAGTTATATTACCAATTTTTGGTATAAATAGACCGAAGACGTTTATGGCCGCTGAGATCTCGTTGAGAGCGTGAGAACCACATGACAAGATCTCGCGTCGTCTCGCCCGCTGTTCCAAATACCAAAGTTACCTGGATTAATGGAACATTTGTCGTAGATTGAAACACTATTTGAAGATCAAAAAAAATAAGTCTCGAGGATATCTTACTCTTTACGAGATCTCGACGTCCATTTGCGTCACAGGTATATGCAGGCCGGTATAAATTTTAATTGTTTGCCATTTTAATTTCTCAGTTGTTTCCTGTCGTTCGTGGCTGTATATTTCATATCGGCGAACCGGGAGGAGCATGGCACTAAAAACAGAATGTCTTGTACAGTAACCAATCCAAACGTTCAGGGTTCGTAAAGCCACACGTAAACGTTTACACATCTCTGTACTGTGACCACTCATAGTTTCGCGTTCGCTTTGACCCGTTGAGCGTCTTAATTGTTATTTTTATGTGTTTTTTTTTCTGAAATACTTTACCGAAGTTGGACCAAATGAATATAACTTCTATTGAAATTCATGAAGATCTTGTTCAATATTTATGGAAAAAAACATGAAAAAAAACACAAAAAACAAAAAACAAACAAATGCGTTTTTATTTTATGAAAGGTGACACTAGTTGGCGCTCAAATGGTTAAAAGTTTTTGTCCATAATTTTGAGTGTGAGTTATCATAAACTAAACATGTTATTTTGGTATCACAATACATACCGACGGAACATCTAATGATTTGTATGTAATTGAATAGTTAATAGTACGTACCAGAAATTCAAAACCCATATTTCAAAGCATTGTATGTCAGTGACCAAACAAATGTTTTAGTTTATGACAAACTCATCTAAATATGCAATGTATATTAACAACAACTGCACATTTTCATGCACTGTCGCCTATTTTTCTCAACTCACTTATATTCACTCTAAATATATTACATGGAATGCTTGTCGGAAATCCTTTCATGCAATATTCCTAAACGGAAACTTGGAAATCTCATTGTTTAGTGATTTGCCTTGCATGTATGCACCTATATAATGATCATAATCCTTTAATAGTACGCATGCGTAGAATAACGCAAATTGTAATGCATGAAACTGTTGCATATGATACCACCCAATTTAATATTCCACGCACGCACGTTCCTCACTTCTATTGCTTGCACTGAGTCATGGTTTAACGTCACGGGTTCGCAATAACCCAATGTTGCATTTCATCGTTTGTTGTTTCCTCTGCTTGTTAGAATTCTTTGATAAGTCATGAATCCGTGTATTATCTGCAACGTGTTTTTGCATTTTAAATGATAGCGTGAGATGCTCGCCTACTTTCTCCTAACAGATTCGATGCCCTGTCTTGATATCCGCTCAGTACAGCCACACGCACCAAACGGCGGTAAAAGCGACGATCTGTTGTTGCCTTTACTGACACTCATGGAAGACAAAACAATCAGCAGTTATGGTTCATCGGACAAAGTACATAACATATTTTACTCTTTGCATACACATTCAAAGCGCGACAGTCGTCACGCAAGGCGCGTTCGAATTTCATGTAAACAAACAATGAATTTGACGCGCGTTGTATACTTAACATGGGACCGACGTCGAACGCGACGCAGCGTGACGACTGCAACGCTTTAAGAAAACGCGAGTGATATCATACCAAAAGAAAGTGCTAGAAACCACTAATTTCAAGTTACAAATGTCAAATAAACGGGTAAATAAATAAAGTGGATATAAATTTAATTTGTTGAGAATGATGAAATATACAAATATTTGGCACAAGACGACAATAAGGGTGGGTGGGTATGGCATTTCAGTAGTTGACATTAACAACGTATGTGCGTGCATATTCTTATGGTATGGATACTTGCTTTGTTTCCGCATCTTACCATGTACATGCCCTGTCATATATTATTAAGCAGCCAGATAATCCATTTCACTTGATAGGATTTCTTAGAAAAGACACATGTATTATATATGCCCACTGATACTTTGGCCTTTTAGAAATATTTGTTTCTCGGCTGTCGGACTAAATAATTTTGTTTCAGGACTGTTTGTACCAAATTATAAACTTCCGAGAAATTTGTGGATCGAACCAATTTAATTTAGTTCTAGTGTATCACCCCGGAAGTTCTTGAAAACGAAATAATAATAATATCAGTGTCACCCATACTGGCAGAAAACTGAAAGACAATATTACGACAATGTACACCTCTTCCTTGACTATGTTTCTCTGTTGACAAAAGTTATGTTTGATATGGTTTGTGCAGGGATAAACTATTAAAAAACAACTTGTCAGTTCATTACTTTGAACACCAGCGTGTCTCTCACAAACGCTCCCACAATGCAGTGTGTTCATATTTCCTAGTAATACACTTATACAATATATAGCAGTATGTGCACAGGAACTAATGAACAAATAAATAAATAAATAATTTAAGCAACAAATTCATTCACTCACTCACCTATTCACACACGCATTTACCTATATTAGCAAGGCTATTTATTTATTTATTTATTTATTTATTTATATATTTATTTATTTATTTATTTATTTATTTATTTATTTATTTATTTATTTATTTATTTATTTATTTATTTATTTATTTATATATTTATTTATTTATTTATTTATTTATTTATTTATTTATTCAGTTATTTATTTAGTTACTTGGTTAGTTACTCAGTTAGTTAGTTAGTTATTCATTCTGCTGTATGTTTAATGTAACATTATTGATTGATAGATAGATTGATAGATTGATTGATTGATTGACTGACTGATTGATTGATTGATTAATTGATTGATTGACTCGGAGTTTGTGAGTGAGTGAGTTTGATTGATTGAACGACCGATTGTCTTAATTATAACTATAAATATTTTCATCTTCACTATAGAAATAATTAAACGTATCGAGACCAAGGAGGTACAACCAGACAATATACACGCAATGTCAGAGAGGGGGAGCATGAGAAGTGTTAGTACTATTGTGGACGATGAGGACGAAACGAAGCTGAGTGCGCGTCATCCAGTGACAACGAGAACGGTACTTGGCCAGTATTAAATTAGACCTAGAATCAACGAAGAGCTAGGCAATTGTCAATCAAGTACAATGCCGGGCTCTTTCGTCATCACAGTGGATTGTGTCCAGGTTCGGGCGTAAGCTATAGCAAAGTCCCACTCTAAATGATAAAAACGAGATTATAGACCCTCTAAGCTGCTCGTAAAAACATCGAAACGTCACAGAAAAGCCTGAATAGAAAATCGTACGAAGAAGTCGTTAGTTTCATCGTTGATGCGAGCAAAGATTGGGAAACTGTGTGTTGCCGAATGAATTTAGTGGCTAGTGTGTTTACAGCAATGTTTAGTGAACAATATGTTATAGCAACGATTTAGAAGACATGTGTTGCAGCTTGGGTAGATAACACCCGTGACTATGTTACATAGAACATTTGTAATCAGTAAGTTGTAGCACAGTCCCTACGGTGTGGAAAGACTGTGGTTCCAGCAACGACTGCAGTGAGAAGAAACAAAAAACAATGAGTTAATGCACAGTACTAGTATGTTGTAAAATCGATTTGGAAAACAAGTATGTAGTAGCATTGATGATTCTCGGGGGCGTGCATCCGGGCATTTTCACCGCCTTGCAACCATCACGGTGAAAACAAAGGCCGAAAACTCCAAGAAAACTGTACTTTGGGATGGTTGTTGAGACTCTACTGAACAGTGTAACAATATTACCCCTACATGTGCAACATATCAACAATCGGTAGCTCAGGATTACTTCGAAGTTGAGTTTGTGCTGTTTTCGCGGCTTTAGCTGATCTCAGGCTTGCTCTTCGACCGGGGTTCTACAGCAGCTCGCGCAGAGCCCATAGTAGTACATGTTTCAGTGCATTCTCCTTCCCAGAGTTCCTTGCGGTTAACTCACCGAAAATATATTCGTAGAAATAGAACTCTGCCCGAGAGATTGGTTTCAGTGGAGCGCGCCTGAACGTAGAACGTTCTGTGACGTAGGTCCGCCCCCGAGGATAGTTAACTAGTACATTGCAGCAAACAGTTAGTAAATAGGTGAATTCGCAAGGTGATAGCAAAGAATATGCTGGAGAGACTACTAGAATTTTAGCTTTTAGCGTCATTCAGGCCAACTTTCTGTATTGCGCCCTCATTGATCAAGTATCCAGATAGGAGGTCACATTATAATATGTGAGCCATACAATATAAAAAAGACTGTGAATTTCTTCTATTTAAATCATAGCAGGCTCGATTCTTTTATTCATTAATATCCCAGGTATTATGCATTATGAACATTATTTGTAATCGACGCAACCTTATTAGTAATTCTATTCAGACTATACTATATCAGTATTTATACGGAATTCGGACATCTCGGACATATTAAATATGCAGCATGGCAGCTCTAAAAAAACGTGCCTGTTGCGCCCTCTATCGTCAGCTAATATGGCAACCAACATGAACTGTAAAGTTTTTTTTTTAAGAAAAAGAAATAGTAATGCAAGACTGAATTATGTCTGAATTTATTAATGCGTATGTAGAGTGTTTATGATTCCTATATCTTCAGATGACTTATTTGTAACTAGTAGTTTATTGTTGCCATAGCATTTTTTATCACAGTTTATTTGGCGAGAAAACTGTGTCCATATCTGAAAAGTGAACTGCAGAACGGTTTCAAGTTACACAGTTAAAGCGGGAATTGAGTCCCAAGCGACGATTACAACGCACGCTAAACACGCTATGGACATCTGACGCATGCGCAGGTGACGATTCCTCCACTTTAACTGCCCAATTCAGTTCGAAATGCATTATGCAAACACATGCAAATAACATAAACGAAAGATCCCGAAAAGCCAATTGCCGTTGTGTCCGTCGGCGAGGACGCTGTGGCTCACCACCGACGACCATGAATGCTGTTGGTTTGTATCAGTCATATACTTTCAACATTCAATTAGATTTCCATTCTACGGACCACCATTCTGTCTGATAATTGAGGTTGGTATCAAAGCTGGCAATTTCTGTCGTCCTGAAGAAGAGGTGTCTGCAGTAGTTCTAGTGACAAAAAACAAAACAAAACAATGACACATTTTTGCGATACTCGTGTTACTGCATTTTTCAGACTACCCCAGCTATAAATAAGTCCTCTCATACTTTACCGTAGGATACTAGTAGCTTGTGTATGTATGTGTGTGTGTGTGTGTGTGGAGGGGGGGGGGGGTATGCTGATTACCCAGATACAGAATGGTCGAGTCCAAATCACGTGGGTGGCTGTCAGCAGGTGGTAGCGTAGTTCGAAGTATACGCTGTGATTTGGTTAAGATTGATCGCTAAGGGGGATACGTACGCACTTCGTATATTCGTTATTTAATTAAACAGCAAGATCACCAGACAGATTTTCTGAGAAAACACAAAATGACTTCGGAGACCTCGTTTATCCATCGCCAGGATCCGGAACTGGAGAGAATATTCCTGTCTGCCGTCGAGAAGGGAGAGAAAAGGGCGGCGATTGTGGCTCTGGAACACGCGGATTATTTCAACGTCAACTGTGAAGATGCGAAGGGACGCACAGCGTTGGTGATAGCTGTACAGAACGGCAATATTGGTAAGTTTATTGTCAAAAATGAATTACATATGTCAGTGCGCGCTAATTGATTCAGTTGGTAGTAATTCTCCATTCGTCTGCCACTACTTCCGCGGTAATTGTAACTTGACGCAAGTGTATATTCATGTAACTTAGCATACACGCGACGTCAAAGTTGATTTGTAAAGGAAAACAAAAAAGCAAAAATAATTCAACATTACATAACTTCATTGAAATTTGGTTGCTAACAATTTTATTTTTTACATTATTTTTATTGCGAAACCATTGAATAAATAGTCATGTGGACTAAAGTGGACTAATCAATGGAATCACACATGCGATTGAAAACAACCTTCGTCAAAACTATATCGATTGGTTAAATGTTTTACTCTTAAATTTTTGAAATGCTCCATAAACATGTGTTAATTCAGACGCGCGTTGTATCTGTGTATCTGCATTTGAACACTCAAAATTAAAAGTAGTCAGACTAAATGTCGGAAATATTAAATCTCCTTCAAAATTCATGTTAAGTAAAACACGACCTATCAATTTTATATTTTCGAAACTGTTGGAATTGCCTGACCATTATATATATATCTTGTGCACGCAGTTCAAAGAGCTGCCGTTGTCAAGCAGTGCGCGTCTGACTCACAATTTCGGGAAAACAAGCTATGCATTTTACACGCGTTGTGTATGTCGCATGGGACCCACATGTCAATATCGATGTTATGCATTGTCACTGGCGATTAGTTAGTCCTGTTTTCAAACGAGAAAATTTCCACTCTTCATTCAGTCACGGTCACAGATTATTTGCTGCAGTAGTGCGACAAACTCACACATACAAACGTACTGAGCTTACAGTTTTATCTGTTATCTAATTGCTAAATTTTCAGTTATAGTTTGTATATATAACAACAACAACATTAATTTTATCCAGTATATCGCTAATCCTCCTCGGCAATAATCCTATGAAAACACTGGTTAATTATTAGTAACACCCCCTTAGAACACTGGCTAATAATCGTTACCCATCCGCTCAGAACAAAGTTTAAATATTACTAGCCCCATCAACGCACTGACTAATCTTCACTAATCCCCTCAGCACATTGGTTAATTATTACTAGCCCCTCAGCACACTGGTTAATTATTACTAGCCCCTCAGCACACTGGTTAATTATTACTAGTCCCTCAGCACACTGGTTAATTATTACTAGCCCCTCAGCACACTGGTTAATTATTACTAGCCCCATCAACGCACTCACACATCTTCACTAATCCCCTCGGCACACTGGTTAATTATTACTAGCTCCTCAACACATTGGTTAATTATCACTAGCTCCTCAGTGCACTGGTTAATTATTACTAGCTCCTCAACACATTGGTTAATTATTACTAGCTCCTCAACACACTGGTTAATTATTACTAGCTCCTTAACACATTGGTTAATTATCACTAGCTCCTCAGTGCACTGGTTAATTATTACTAGCTCCTCGACACATTGGTTAATTATTACTAGCTCCTCAACACACTGGTTAATTATTACTAGCCTCTCAGGACACTGGTTAATTATTACTAGCCCCTCAGCACACTGGTTAATTATTACTAGCCCCTCAGCACACTGGTTAATTATTACTAGCCCCTCAGCACACTGGTTAATTATTACTAGCCCCTCCGCAAACTGGTTAATTATTACTAGTCCCTCAGCACACTGGTTAATTATTACTAGCTCCTCAACACATTGGTTAATTATCACTAGCTCCTCAGTGCACTGGTTAATTATTACTAGCTCCTCGACACATTGGTTAATTATTACTAGCTCCTCAACACACTGGTTAATTATTACTAGCCTCTCAGGACACTGGTTAATTATTACTAGCCCCTCAGCACACTGGTTAATTATTACTAGCTCCTCAACACATTGGTTAATTATTACTAGCTCCTCAACACACTGGTTAATTATTACTAGCCCCTCAGCACACTGGTTAATTATCACTAGCTCTTCAGTGCACTGGTTAATTATTACTAGCTCCTCAACACATTGGTTAATTATTACTAGCTCCTCAACACACTGGTTAATTATTACTAGCCTCTCAGGACACTGGTTAATTATTACTAGCCCTTCAGCACACTGGTTAATTATTACTAGCCCCTCAGCACACTGGTTAATTATTACTAGCCCCTCAACACACTGGTTAATTATTACTAGCCCCTCAGCACACTGGTTAATTATTACTAGCCCCTCAGCACATTGGTTAATTAATACAAGTCCCTCAGCACACTGGTTAATTATTATTAACCCCATCAACACACTGGTTAATTATTACTAGCCCCTCAGCACACTGGTTAATCATTACTAGCCCCTCAGCACGTT